AACAGACTTGAAGAACAAGGATGCCAAAGTTCCACAGGATGCAGAATGGAAGCCCCTGAGATGGTTGCCTGGTTAGAAAGCACTTTGGTCCCCATGGGAAAATGTGGGGGGACACTGCAAGAATAATCATTAAAAAACAGGTTGGAAGCAAGAGAAGAAGCCAGAGCCCAATTCAGAGGGTGGCAATAGAAAGTTCTTGGTCGAAGACACAGAGGCATTCTTCAGAACAAGGTCATTCTAAGTAGCAAAATTTTCTTCTTTACAAACTTAACAATTAAATCATCCTGTGAATTATTTTTGAAAGCTAAACCATCTTTCACATATTGCTTAATTGTTCCACTGCTTCTATTTCATGTAAATGTAAGTTTTAACACTTATTTATTTATTTATTCATTAATTCAAATAACCCACATAGAGTATTAGAATTACGGAATATTTTAAAGGAGTATTTAAGAAACTTTCAGTATTTTATATTTTCATAAGCATTCAAATCAAGTTAATAATAGAGAACAGCGGAAGCCCTACTTTAAAAACAAAATAATTATTTTAACTGTGTACCGACATCAATTAACGAAACAAGCATTTATTCTCTTGTGTGGTTTAACAACAAATGCCTGTATCCTTTGTAAATTGTTTCAGATTTCTTTATGTAAAAATAGTCTTTAAAATAAACTGCACATGTCCCTATTCCTTATCCTTCTGAAGGGCTGCTGGCCCGAAGGTATGAACTAGAAAAAGGGACCCTTTCTTGAAGCACATGTCCACCTTGTCCTGGGAAGACGCCATGATAGTCCCACTCATTAGTGGCTGTGAAGAAAGGGCAACTAAGAGTCTCTGGATCAGGCCGGGGCCAGTTGTGCGTGGCCACCAAGATTCCACCTTCAGGCTTGAAGGTGCTCCAGTGCATGCTGGGGGGGGGGGGCTTACTGCCTTTCAGTGATAACAATGATGCTATTACCAAAGAGGTCAGCTACTGTCTCGGTTACTTTTCGCTTATTGCTGGGACAAAATACCTGACACTCAAAATGAAGGAAGGAAAGATTTATTTAGCTCACAGTTAGTGGAGGTTTCAGTCCATACTCAGCTGGCTCCAAGGCAGAGTGGCACATGGCAGAGAGCAGCAGTTCATGGCGGCAGAATACAGCAGAACAGTAAAAACAAATGGGAGGAGTAGCGGCAACAGTGGCGACAGAGAGCAAGTCTGTCTCCTTTACATTGTATTCAGGCTGTCCACCGCAGGCTGGGTGCAGCACTCACCCTCATAATCCCAGCACTGGATCATGAATTAATCACACAATCTAGAAGGCCAGCCCATGACTGGGGAAAAACGTAGACACAAACCATAACAGCTACCATTCAGAGTTACTGAGTTCCATGCCAGCTGCCATGATCTGAAGATCATGCTGGCGTGAATAAATGAAAAAGACTGCCTGGGGCTATTTTACCAGGGAAGACACCCTCCTTCCAAAGGAGGTGGGCGCATATTGCCAGGTCCTGACGACCGCTACACCGTGAAGACATGCAACATAAACCTCCCATACTGAACTGGAAAAAAAATTAACATCGTATAGATTCAAAAGACTGTGTCTGTGAGCCAAAACGGAGCCACACACAGGCAAGCTCAAGTCAAGGCCAACACGGGATTCTTTGGGCAGCTCTCTGCCCACGAGGTTCGTACCAAGTAGAATGTTCTGGCAACATCAGGAGCTTCCTAAGGCAGAGGGAGCGGGAGTACGGCTCCCGTAGCAGCAGATGCACACTTAGAGAACTGCCCATGCCTAGGAATCCTGAGAAAATGAAAGTTTAAGACAATTACAATTCCTTATGGAGTAAGTCCACATCAAGATGGCCGAAGTCTACACGAAACGTGGCCTTGCTGGATGTGGATTTCTTGGTCAGTCACGTTTTGTCACCCCAGACAATGAATACTATGTCAGGGCACAGCCTCTTCCAGAGTGGATTTTAATTGTTTACCTCCTTCTTTTTTTCTTTTTAAAATTGTGTTTGGTACAGGCTCTCACTATGCAGCTCAGACTTGTAGTGATCCTCCTGTCTCAGCCTTCCCAGTGCTGGGATTATGGGTGTGAGCCACCACACCCTGTCTTGGTGGCTGGTTCTGTGTACTCGGGGCAGGGCTGGCACAGCATATGATACTAGGGATCATACCCAGGTCCTTGCACTTGCCTAGGCAGGCGCTTAGACCTCTGAGCTATCTCCGTGGCCCTGTTCACCTCTTTCAGCCATGACCACATGGGCTGGGACAGTGCAGACCCAGAAGACAGGAGACAATGACGTTCATTACATTTACTGTAGAGGCTGGTGCCATCCTGGCACAGAACTGGTACTAAGCAGAAGATAAATATTTCTCCAATACTGAAACGCAAGGTGCCATGTCTGAATGTGGAGATGGATCTCAAGATTTCTCTATTTTGGCAAGAAATGGCAAACTCTCAAACTTAGCATTCTCACAGAAGGATTCAAAAATCACAATCTCAGGATCCAGGATCTGAGTAGATTGCCAAATTAAAACAACAATAATATTTTTTAAATTTGCTTTGCATGCCACAATGTGGACACAAATGTATGAACGTAAGGTGGACTGACTCATATGGAAAACAAAAAACAGCTCAACCCAGACACTGGGTAAATAAAATTCTCCTTTATCTTTACGACCTGCTCAGTTTTGATAATACTAGATAGCAGGCTAAAACTTAGAAAAAGACCAAAGAAAAATGAAAACTAGTGCAATTCTTCACAGATGAAAGAGTAGTCACATCGTAGATATGCTTGACAAATTCAAACCTAGATTCCACAGTGACATGTTTGTTGGTTTGCCTGCCCAAGATGCTAAATGGTCTTTTTTTTTTTTTTTTAAATGTTTATAGAGCTGAAAAAAACCTGAAATTTCTTGCTTAGAGCATGCTGTAAATTTCTTCCAATATTCATAAACATATTCATAAACTAAATTTTCCTGTAAGAAAGCTTCCCTATCTAGCAGGACCAGGTTGGTATGAGCAGAGGAGGGAAGGACAGAGGAGGTGGAGAGAGTAGAGGCCCACTGACCTAAAATCCACTTGCAAGAGGGCAGTGGCAGGACACAAGGCAAGTAGAAGCTGGTTCTCTGTAGTGTAGGTGATGCTGGTGCTGCCAAAGGCAAAGCAATTGTGCTTTAGAGGCCGCAGAGGTCCAAACGGAATTTAGGTTCTCTCCCAACAGGGCAATGCCAGAATATGATTCTGGCCAGGAGAATAAGATGCGTACATTAGAGGTCTCCACACCACAGAAAGGGGTGGAGAGAGACACTTCGGTATGTAATACGTACTAAGTTCCTCCTGTGTCCTGGGAATCCTACCAGGGATTTAATAACCAGTACAAGCTTTAGGATGTGTTAGATGTTTCTCCCACACTACAGACAGGAATACTGAGGCTGGAAAGCTGAGCAGCATTGTCGCTAGGTACACAGCTGAGGCAGAAGAGTTGGGGCTCAAGGCAGATACTTTGCACTCCAGTGACCAAGCTTTGAAAACACCATGATGAACCCACTGTGGTTCATGAAAGTAATCAGGTGAAAGAGATATACTGAGGAACAATGGGGACAACTCCAACACACAACATAAACAACTTCCAAAATACCTGCCCATGACCCAGTACGGGATACACTCTGTAGGAGGACCTCCTACACACTCCGCAAGCATTACTGAGCACAAATAGCTAAAAGGTCTGAGACGATTACCCTTTCTATGTGTGATACACATTGATAGCTTTCCAATTTGTTTTTCTAGTCTGTGTTACTCCATTTTATTATTTTAAAAATTCTGGCCAGGGCTCCCTGAAATGATTTCATGCCCACTTACAGAACAGAGCCCCATGATTAAAAACTGGTGCCATGACCAGAGGTTTCTGACATCAGGGATAATCCTAGGCATTTCATAGTGTCACCTATAATGTGTCCTTGGAGTCTTTATCCAGGAAGAGAAAAGGGACAAAGGTGGCAAAGGGGGAGAGATGAGCAAGATGGAGAGGCCTCAGTCACATGTCACCCTCTGCAAAGGGCAGTGAAATCAACATCCTCGAAACCAGACTGTGGCTGTCTCAGTGACACAGCGGCAAGCTCAGAAAGGCCAATGGTGAAGGCCTATGAGGGGGAAGGCTATGACGCCCTTCATTCGTGCTCCTTTGGGCTGTCAGGAAGACATCCTCCTCCAGCACTGACCCTCTGGTACTGTGAGTAGCTGTATGTGGGTTTTGAGGCAAACTGTAAGGCTAAAAGGCAAGTCACGTGCCTGGTACTCAATTTACCTTTCACACACACAAAAGATCCGGTCCCCTACCAACACCTTGGTCAAGTTATTCACTGAGCAACTCTCCTTTAATTGGATTTCACTTATTAAAGAGTGTGGACAGTAGCATCAAAGACAGAATGCAAGTTTAGCATCTCTGGGCAGTATCAACACATGAGCCATAGGCAGTAGTGAACAGAAGCATATGAAAAGAAAAAGAAAGGCTGGGAATTCATAACTAGCACTAACTTTGAAACAGTGTCAACAAAATAGTTACCATGGGAATTTCTGAGATGGGAGAAAAGAAATCTCTTCAGAGAAGTGATTGGGGCTATTTATTGATCCAGTTGCAAGTAATGTCAAATCTTAAAGCTGCTTGAAAGAAAACCACTTTTTTTGAACATCAGCCTCTTAATATGCCGAAGAAACCTGTTCAAAACGTTCAGCAGCGAAGTAACTTAGATGATAAATGTGTTCTTCAATCTGCGCACCAGTCAAGTAGCAATAAAATCAGAATAATTCATGCAAAAATTTTCATTATGTTTCTAAACACACTTATTTACATTTTAAATCACACATTAGACAATATGAAATATCTTTCATTTAGACAGGTGTGAACTAGAAAACAGATGCATTCATTAAACATGGAACAATTCAGTGAATTAAAAAAAATACTCAGAAAACTCTCCGGATGGAGAACTTGAGCCACTGTTAACTTACTTGAAAAAATATGGCCATGGCTCCGATTATTCTGTTCTCAGAAATTGCAGTTTGAAAGCTGTCAAAGTCATCTGGATTGTAAAAGAAAATCTGCATCTGTAAAACGACAATTGAAAAATGTATTAGGGAATGTTCAAGCTATACAAAAGTAGAAAATAGCACAATGCACCCACAGTGCCTCGCTTCCTGCATCTGTCTATACTCCTCCTTTGCTAAAGTATTCCAGGCCAGAGCCCAGACCACGCGCCAATTTTCCTATTATACTTTAGAATGCGTCACTTCTTCCTCCATAACAAAAATACATTCCTGCCACCCTAAAATAAATAACAGATACTTTCTTATTACTTGGCACCAGGGCACGGTGACATTTTCCTCTTACGAAGCCAGATCTTATTGCTGCTAAACAGCTTGAATGCAAAACTAAGCTCGTAGGATTCAGTCCGCATACTGAGACGGTAAATGGGCACCTATTATAAACAAGCTGCATGCAAGCAACGAGTACTAGAAGACGGATCTCAGGAGCTTTGAGAAATGGTGCAAGAGCATATTTCAGTAAATTCACCAAGAAATGGAAGGGTAACAATATTAGTAACACGCTCCATTTCACCACGTGCCAGGAGCCACCCTATCCGTTATTTCAGTTAATGCTTTTACCAAGACCTGTGAAGACAGGAAAGGGATGATTATGCACAGCTCGAGGCGAGGAGAGCTGAATTAAACATCAGAGAGCTGAAATTCCAGGTGCTCCGACCCCGACCTTCAACAGCTCCTCTCACATTAACCTGGCTTGAGTTACTTATCGGGTAATCAACACAGATTTCCTCCATCCCGTTCCACTGATCCATAGGTCTGTTTTGCTCCAGGTTCATGCCAATCTTATTACTCTTGCCCTGTAATGCCGCTTGAGGCCAGACAATGTGCTGCTGTCCCCTGCTCTGCTCTAGGTGCCCAGAGTGCTTTTCCTATCCAGGTCTCTTCAAGTTCTGTATTAATTTTCAGGTTGTTTTCCACTATGGCTGTGCAGCATGCTGTTCGTTTTTTCACTGGGGCTGCCATGACCTGCATACTCGTTCTGGGAGTATGGCAATTTTAGTAATACTGATTTGGCCTGTCCAGGAGGAAGGGACATCCTTCCACTTTTTGACATCCTCTTCTACCTCCTTTTTCAGCACACTGTAGTTTTCTTTGTAGACATCTGTCACTCCCCTGCTGAGGCTAATAGCTGTCATTTCACTCTCCTCGGTGGTGCCACTCACGGAACCACTGTCATGATTTCCTTCTCGTTTAGGTCATTATTGGTGCACACCAACCTGATGAGGCTAAATCGTGTGTGTCACAAATGCGAGCTGGGCTGATAACATGAAGAAGAACAAAAACAGACAAAGGACATGTGGCAGCAGATGAGGAGTCATAATAAAGACAAAGAACCAAGCTGTCTTATGCACATGCGCCCCTCCCCAAAAGCACTGCAGGCGCTGCATAGATGTACTAGTAAAAATAAAGAAATGATCCTTCCTGTGGGACAGTTCATGCAACGTAAAAATCACTACAGGATTTGAATACCTGAACACACCATCTTGGTTATTCAAAAAACAATTCAGAGAGCACCAGCCCACAGAGCGGCCCCGTAAGAACACCCATATGGAAGGTATCAGGCGGGGGGTCCTGGGCAGCTTCGTGGCCCACCTGCTGGAGGCCTCCAGGAAGCTATTTCCTACATATCAGCATTGCTCTTGAGGAAAAGGCCAAGCTCTTCCACCGGGTGGGGCCTGAGAAGACCAAACACGCTAGTGCGGCACGCAGCGCCTGCTAATGCCCCCGCTGGGCAGCTCACACAGGCGCCACCAGCAGTGCATGGTGGGCTGACAGGCGGCAGACTTCTCAACATTTCTACCAAGAACTAGCTTCACTGAGTCTTCCAGAACGACTCTACTTTTTATCAAAAAAAAAAAAAAAAAAAAAAAAATCAGATCTTTATCTTCAGTCCTCTTTTATTTCCAAATGGTATGATGGGATTGTGTAATACACCGAAGCACCACATCCCAGGCAGAAGTCTGAAGATTTGACATTGAACAGTAAATCCCCCGAGGGCAAAGCCATCTCAGTGATGAGGTGAAGTACAGGCCAAAGGTAAACAGATCCCTGATGACTGGCCGATGGTGATGATGAAGTTGATGACCACAATGCTCAGAACACCACTGTACTTCTTTTCTGAAGGGTAATACTATCTGGTAGCCAAAATCAGGTCACTTGTAGACAACCTCTGGTATCTGAGTATTGGAGAAAAGGATAGATTCTTCTGGGGACGATCTCTTTGAAAGCAATTTCTTAAGACTGAATTCCCACTGATTCTGGCAGTTTCTTACAAATTTGTTGCCTTTAGGTTTGGACAGTTTTAGACATCATGAATTTATACTGAGAAAAAGTCACTCCCCATGAGGTGTGGATTAAAACAGTTTAATACAAGGTGAACTGCTTTGGGTACAATGCCACTAACCCAGGAAAGAAACTCCACACAAGTACATTCAGAAAATTACACTTTCCTTCCCTTTTAAAACTCAGGCCCTTAAATTAAGTTGGTTCACAAAAGGCTTTTATACCTCAGCCGATGCTCAGGGGTGGCACTGTTTAATGCATCACCTGAATAGCATGTGGTACAGAATACTTTAGGCCCTCTTCTAGGACATTTTCACTTACAGCTGGGTAAGAGAAAGCATTTCTAGAAAATCTGAGCTGAGGCCCCACCCACCTGGACATAGCACCTCAAGGAGCAGCAGCTCAGGTGGGAAACACAGAGGTCCCTCGTGACTTCATGGCGCGACTTTTGGACTCACTATTTTTTGGATTTTCAAAAAAAATATTAAGCTAAGTTATTTAGTGTGGATTTTTTTTTTTTTTTTGCCATATCACGGGATTTTGCAGTACTATACAGTATATGTATATTGTTAAAGTTACATAAGTTTAGAGTTTAGAAAGTGGTTAAGAACATCAGAAGTGTTTGTAAAAGTGTGAGAAAGGCTTATAAGAATGTGAGCAGGGTTTACAAAGCCATATATATGTGTATTATATGTATATACATATATATGCTAAAATAAATACAACATCGCTACTTCTCTGAGTTTCACTGGTCATGGGGGTGTCTGGACTGGAGCCTCTGCAATAAGCGAGGGGCCACTGTATGGTCTTCCTAGCGACTTCTCTGTGTTGTAGTCTACTGATTAGAGAACACCTGCAGCTACTCCACACATGAAAGTAAGGAGATGAAGTTTCACCCAGTGAAAGAACCTGAGCGTCCTTTGCTACTGAGGAGCCAGACGTGGGGCCAGGCTAGAACCCAGGCTTGGAAGACATCACTGGCCGGTGTTGGGAGCAGCCACCAAGCACCTCGAGCAGCCCCCTGCTTCCTGCATTTGCTCTCAGAAGCCATGCCCAGGGCCCTCCCTCCAGGATTCCTCAAAGTGTGCTCTTTCTGGTAGTGAGGATCTAGGAGATGCTTGCTACATAACAACCCTGCACTGGAGAAACTTGAGGAAAGAAGGAGGAAGGATCCAGAACACCTGAAGAAGTCTGGAACTGCTCTGTGCATCCTTTGCCTCATTTCCCTTCTGCACACACAAAACTTGTGCAGCCCCCTACCTTCTGCTGGGTAAGTGGGAGGCACTATGTCCCTTTATTACTCCACATGTGAGTATAGCTGCTAAGGATAAGGATGTTGTCTTCACAATGATCACATAATTATTAAAATGAGCAAATTTCACATTCATGGAATACTGTCATCTAACTCACAGACCACTCTCACATTTTGGGAAATGCCCAAATAAGTCCACTGTAGACCATTGTTTGGTTTGGGGTCCAGGACCCAGTCTAGGCTCACGCTTTTCAGAGAAAGTTCGCCTCTGTGTGTGCCTGCCCCTCGTACCCTGATGTCATCTGGAACAGTGCCTCAGTCTTTGTCTTTCTCTGCTGTTCTGTGAAGTGCAGAGGGCAGACGCAGGGAGAACTGACTCCCACAATTAGATCCAGGTCGTACACTGGGGCAGGCTATTTGTCGCTTGATTTTAACACACACACACACACACACACACAAATGCATGCACACACGCGCACGCACACACATCCTGGTTTCCAATTTGTATCACTATTCATGTCAGGCTTAATGAACAAAAAGCAATTAACCTGAAGATTAGAGCTTTGTATATAATTATTATTTTTTCAAACCCTTAGGGAGGGCCTGATGGATCCCAGGCAGGCACCTCACGCACGTGCGCCCAGTGACAGAAGGGACCACACCACGATTCTCATCTCACCAGCCCGAGACGCAAAGATTTCCGAAATGCACGTCACTGTTGAGGAAGAAGGCTGAGGCTGGGGCAGGGGGCTCTCCTCTCTCCGAGTTTGAGATCTCGTCACCGCGCTTCCTTCCCAAAGGCCTCACGCTCCTTCTGGGTGAGGCGCCAGGACTGCTGAGGACCCCGCTCGTGCAGGGAAGGCAGAACCACCATTAATGAGGCAAGGTCGACTTCTCTGAATGCTACAGTGGAGTAAATGTGCTACAAAGCAGCATAAAACAATGAGTGGACCACAGTCCGCAGATGCACAGAAAGCGAATCCCAAATTAGTACGGCGACAGGTAAGAGCGGACAGTCTCTTCGGGGGAGCGCTGCAGTCTCTCACAGTACAAGTGCGTGGCTCAGCCTGTGTGCAGGTTGCTGCGCTACCAAGAAGTAGCGATCCTGGTGCCAGAGTGGAAAGGCCACAAGGCCTGCAGATCGGGAAAGCGCGGCACTTTACTTCCTCTTGAAAATGTCAGGTTCTCCCCCAGGTACCCCATCTATGGCCTCAGATAGAAACAGAATATAAGATGGATTAAGTGAGGCAACAGCACACAGGTCAGAAGAAAGCTAAGCTACCGAATGGCCCGGCAGACATGTGCAGGGCGATGGCGTGATTTTCTGAGAGACGCAAGAAGACACAGGCCGAGGCTGCAGGAAAGAATGCTCGGAGGGAGGAAGCAGGAAGGGTGACACAAGGGGTAACAGAATAATGAGAAACCCCGTAAGAGGTGCAGGCAGCTACAAGGGGTGACGCGCACTGTC